TGGGAGATCCAGTCCAGCGCATCAGCGTAGGTCGGGATGCCTACTGCCTTGACTTGGACCAGACCGTCCACTGCTGCGGCAGCAAGCTGGGTGTAGTGCTTGGTCTCCAGTGTGGTGGCTCCTGGGGCTCCTTGGCGTAGGTGTTCTGCCAGCCGTCGGTGCAGTCGTCGGAGCCGTCGCAAGGCGATCGTCTCGTCGGGTCTGTGCGCTGGGGAGTGTGATGTCGGCCGTGAGGTTGGCTGTAAACCTTTGTCCCTCTCGGCTTCGCTTTGCACTGCAAGTAGGCCGTGCTCGACGGCCAGCCTCAGCGCCTTCTCCGCCGTCATATGCCAGTAGTGCCAGCGTTCGAGCAGCGGGGGGTCGGTATCCTCGTTCAGGTAGCGGGGAGGCCCCACCTCCTGGTCGAGTAGCTCTTGAAGTCGCTCTCGTTCCCCGTCATTGGGGCTGCACTCTAGTGTGTATGTTGCCGTGCGCCTGAGTCGGGTTGGTGTCGGGTTGACGTACGTGATGCTTAGCACGTATCCCACCATTGCATGATGTGGGATGCCTGCCAGTAGGTGCGTCGAGATCTGCTCTGGAGCAGCTCCTTCTCCCCACAGCAGGGCTATCGCCGGACAAGTACCTGCTGCCGTGGGGGATGTCTCTGTACCTCTTCGCACCGTCCTCACATGCCATCGCGTGGTCAATGCGGAGTAAAGAGGACGCCAGTTGAGGTCTCCAATGATGTACACTGGGTGGCCAAGATGTCCCAACGATTGGAATTTTCCGAAAGCATGCTGAATTCAAGCTCTGTCCACTCCCACAGGGCCGTAGACGGACAGAAACGTAGCGGTAGCACAGCGTATCCCGACCATACGGTTGCCGAGGTCCTTGTGGCGGATGACGGTGATCTTGCCCAGTGAGCGGCGCCATATAATAGCGCAGCCCCCTTGTCGCACGGCGCCCCGCTCCTGCGTTGGTGGTGGATCTGAGCAAGCGATACTCCACCCATATCTCATGGCCGCCTGAAAATCCCATCGTGGTCGTAATTCGTGATGTCGTATCTCCTGGAGACAAAGGACCGCAGCTGTGGAAACAGGTGGTGCCTCCAGGATCGTGACAAGTCTCGCTTTGGAAATGCTGGTAACATTGGTCGTACATACTTGAAGCTTGGTGGCGTCGGCACTCGGCTCCGCAGTCGGGAAGATGTCCTCTGGAGCCAACTCCTCCTCCAGCCTCTGGCGCTTGTGCTGTGCCTGGCCTGGGCTCGAGGAGCACCCAGGCTCAGGGTTTGGTGGAGGGTGCGCTAGGCCAAAATCCCCGGCGGCTGTCGTCGCTCTTGAGACCGACGATTGTGACAATACGTGTGGCTGTCCAGCATGTGGCGACTGCGCTTGGGAAGCAGACGTCGGCACAAGCCAGTCGCGACCAGGACTTGCGATCTTTACGCCTGAACTTCTGGGGTTGGCGGAGAGGGACCTATGCGCTTGTCCCTTGCCAGCGCGTTCTGACCCATGTCCAGCATGTGGCAGCGGTGCCTGGCCCGAGCTCGAGGAGCACTCGAGACCAGGACTTGCGTTCTGACCCTGAGGAGTACTGGCAGAGAGGGGCCCCGAGGGTCCCTTGCCAGTGCGTTCTGACTGAGAACTCGCTGCCGTAGGACAGGCCCTTGGCGCAGGCGAGGTACCAGTTGGCGTCGGTGGTGTCGTCGGCGCACCCGTGGCAGCAGTACCTGTGGCCGAAGCTGTACAGGTAGTTGAAATCAGTGTCGAGGGTGAACCAGCAGTCGCAGTACCTGAGGCCGAGGCTGTACAGGTAGGCGTAGGCAAAGGTAAGGATGAACCAGTCGCCAATCCCCGCGAAGTGCGAGAACGTTTAGCCTTCGGTGTTGGGCTCGAAGGGTGCGCAGAAACTGCATCAGAAACGTGTTGTGCATGCTCATTGGCCACTGCAAATACAGCGCTTGAATTCGGATCTGCAAATACAGCCCTTGAATTCGGCGTAGTGGCTCGTGCTTTTTTGGGTGGTGTTTCTCTCGGATGGGCCGAGGCGTCGGTGGGTCGTGAGACCGTGGGTTGCTGGCTTGGTGCTGCAGTCTTTTGTCGCTTGCTTGGTGGTGTCGGCCCCTGTGTGGAGCGCCCTCCGCACAGGAGCGGATCCCGTCAAAGTTGGCTCGGCTCGTCGTGGGCTGCTGGCTCCCCTTGCACCGGTGCACGCTTGCGCACCGTCGGTAGTCCCAGTGCTTCACGTCGTAGCCGTTCCTTGCGTTCGCACTGCTTCCTCCCGTAACGCTCGCATTACTTGGCGTAGTAGCCTGGGGCCTTGGAGGACTTCTTCCAGTGCTGCCCCACCCGCCTGGCGGAGTCGGCAACTCGCTTCTTGGCAACCTCCTCTCCCGCAAGCCTGGCCATGCCCATCTGGAGGGTGGCCCCCTCTGGGCGCCGCTTGCAGGGGTAGCCGCGGAACTTGGCGAGGCATAGCTGCCTGCCACACATGATGCAGACGTAGTGCGTGCTCATCATGCGGGCGTGCTGCGCAGTCCTGGCATATTCCCCCCCAGGATCGCAGGCCACCTCGCGCTGAGCAGGAGTGAGCTCGGCCCTCCAGAGCTGGAGGCGTCTCCATGCCTGGTCTCTCTTGGCTTTGTTCATGGCTGCAACCGATAGCCCACCTTTGCCCAACCGATGACGTCGAACATCAGCAGGTTCCTTGGGTGGATCTTCGCCTTGACAGATGCACCAGTGCTTCTTGACCTCTGTCCACCTCTGCTGGGCGGACTGCTGCGGGTCGGGCTTCCACTTGCCACAGGGGCAATGCCAATGCTTGTGCGATTCCGTCAGCATCGGCAGGGGGGAAGGCATCGGGCTGCGATTCAAAATGCTCCCCACTCGTCGTGGTGAGATGGGCTTAGTCTTCGGCGTGGCCATGCCGAAGATACTCTGAACTCGTCGTGTCGAAATCGATTTCCCCGACGGCGTCGGGGCCTCAAATATTGCCATAGCCGCTGCCGAGGACAGAGAGCTCGATGACTGCGTCTTCTTGGATGCTGGCGTCGGGTGGTCCGCGTCGTCGTAGTGGCGCCGCCCCTGTCCAGCCTTCTTCTTGATAGTAGTGGCTCTTCCTCCTCCGGAAAAGTGATGAGGATATCGCCTGGCATTCTTTTTCCATTCAGCTTCGATGTCCGTGGGTACTGGAGCTGTTCCAACCAGCAGCTGAATATGCTTGTCCACCAAGGTCATCCAACACTTGTGTTTCGTCTTGATGGCTGCTGGTGCTGAGAACAACGTCCATCCAGTGCCCTGCTTCTTCCAGATGAGGAAATCACATGATACTGCTGTCGCTGCTGCTTTTGATGGCGGCCGATGTCGCATGCGTTCCCGCTGTGGCCTGATCATCGGCATCCTTCTGGGGTAACTTCTGCTTGAGCATCTCTGCCGCCACTTTTGCTCGTAGTGCTGCTTGGATCTTCCATCCTGGGCCAAAGTCGGCCTCAGTCGGGAGCTTCTTGCCTGATTTGCCTCCAGATGGCTGAAGAGAATCGAAATAGAAACCTGCTGAGACATAGAAACAGTCACCTTTGCCTCCACACTCTCGCTGCTTGAAATATGCTCCCCATGGTGCTTTATTTGGCGTGGTCTGCTTCGGCTCCTTGGGCTTGGGCTCGCCATCACCATTGTTCTCCGCGTTCGTCATCGTGGCGTCTCCGTCCGCGTCAGCCTGTGGTGTGGCTGCCGCTGAAGATGCTCCTGGATGTCGTCGAGTCGGGCTCGGTGTGCCCCACGCCGTCTTGGGTGACCTCGTCGGTGGTGGTCTGGAGCCCCTTCTGCGTGGTGCCGCCAAGCTCGCCATCACTCCTGACTTGACCTCTAGAACTCTGCCGCTGTCAAGTTGGTCCAGATCGGCGCGGATAAACCAGCGCCACGTACCACAACGTGCAATACTATTCACCTTTTTGAACCCACGATCCAAGGCCCACGCTTTGACTTCATCTTCCTGGGACCATGAAGTGGGTGTGCGTTGGAGAAGCCACCGTGGTTGAATATCTGCAGCACTTACAACATTGGCCGAGATGACACCGAGTGAGCTGTTCTCCGACGGGCGGTACACGAGTCGTCCTGACGCTGCCTGTGCAGCAGCCTGGACTCGCTTGAAGTAGTCGATGGCCTGCTCATCGTCCCTGAGCCTGTGCCATGAGGGGGCTGGGGATGTCCCCTGCTTGTTGAGAAAGACCCCATCTGGAAGTGGGAACTTCATGATGTCCTCGATGTGGGGTGCCTGCGCTATCAAAATCGCCGTGACCTCTGTCTCATAGGCCATGGCTCCCTTGGTATTGAGGATGTACTTGGTGAGACTGGCACTCATGATGAGTGCGGGCAGCGCGATTGGATTCTCCTCAGCCTCAGCATACAACCAATCTGGAGCATAATCACGAGCGACCGTGATCCTCACCGCGATAGGCTTGTCCGTGGATATGGGAATCTCGGCATCATCCTTCGCGCCCTTGGGAAGGCCTGCCTTCTGTGGGGTCTTCTGGCCCGTTCGTAGAATCTGTGCTGGGACAAGGGTGGCCCCACCACCCTCGGCTTCGACGGCCACGTCGATGTGTTCCCGGCCGTCGTACTTGGTGACTTCGTCGAAGAGCACGTGCGTAGCCGTCGGGTTGGTGAGGCCTCTCGCCTTCAACCAATCAACAGCCTGATCGTGCTGAGTCTTCCCCTTGCAAGCGATCACAGGAGGTGCCTGTGGATCATATTCTTTGTCTTTGATGTGGGCTGCCTGCCACACCGCCGAAGAGCCCCACGGGTGTTGGAGAAGCTTGTGTGTGATATTAGGCGACGTCGTAGTACTTTTCCCCGTACTCTTCGTCGCAACACTTTTGTCGGTATTCTTCTTGCCCTGAGTATCCTCCAGCAAGTGTGTGAGTGTCGCGACCACCTCCTTGTGGGTTGGAGGTTGGGCCTGCTCATCCGCTTGGCGTATGAGACGTTTGATGCGGACCAACAATCTAGGATCCCTGCGCCTGTTGGTCTTCTCCGTGAAACTATCAGATGTTCGCTGTTTGGCCCTCGTCTTGGATGTGTGACAGCTCCCACGGACCTGACCCGTCAAGTCCCGCAGTCGCTCTTCCATGAGTGCCAGCTGGGTGAGTACGGCAGCATGATCGTTCCCCCGACGTCGTTGTGCGTACATACCCCCACGTCCTCCCGCCAAGAGCGGGTCTGAGGCAAAGTCAGTATCTGGGTCGTCGATGTCTGTAGTGATCGACTGGTCCAGCTCGCTCGTCTCGGTGTCGACGGTGTCGGCAACCTCGAACAAATCATGCTGGCCCTCGCTGGTAGTCACATCCGTGACGCGTTCGCAGTACTCCGCCGCGGCGGGGACCAGACGCGGCTGCCCAGTGCAGAAGCACGCCATTCCTGGACGGCTGCCAGCCTTATGGCTGGCAGCAGGAAGCGGGGGTTGCAACCTGCAGAAACTCGGTAAGCCACATCGCAGGGGCGGGTGGACAGAGGGGGGCCCCGAGGGGTGCGCGGAGCTGGCGCCCTCGGCAGCCCCTGGAGCGCGGCGCCTGCCGCTGTTCCCAACAGAGCTCGGGAGAAGGGACCCGAGTCAAGGGAGGCGAAGTCCAGACGGAGAACAGTCGGCCCGTGTCATCAGGATGCGGGGTAAGGATGCAAAGGCCTCGGACGCTCATTTCCACGCTTTGCGAGCGGGGCGCGGTCAACGAACGCTGCCAAGGATGGGCCGATTAGACAAGGATGCAAGGGTGCCCTTGAAAGCTTGCCCAGAGGCGAAGTCCAGACGGAGTACAGTCGGCCCGTGTCATCAGGATGCGGGGTAAGGATGCAAAGGCCTCGGACGCTCATTTCCACGCTTTGCGAGCGGGGCGCGGTCAACGAACGCTGCCAAGGATGGGCCGATTAGACAAGGATGCAAGGGTGCCCTTGAAAGGTTGCCCATCCTTACTCTGCGGGTTGACTGTAAGCCCAGACGGAAGCCGACCACTCCGCATGGCCTGACTCTGCATGGGTTGACTGGGGCCCCCCGGATGGGGTCGGAGCAGACGGGGTCGGATGATCTCGCCGCATCGCCAATCCATCGGCGATGCATCGGCAATGTCGTCGATGAAGATGCGACGTCGCGTGGACGAGATCTGGCTACACATCGAGCCGCATCGCCGACGCATGGGCGCTGCGGCCCGATCCTCCGACCCCAGTTGCTGGGACCCCATCTGGGAGGCCGGAGCCTATCCTGACCGATGGTCGGCGGCGAGCCCAGGAGGGAAGCGCGATGGGTCTTCTCAGAAGGCTCGGAAGCCCCCCCGGCCCTCTGAGAAATCTCCCAGGCCTCCCGGGACGAGACAGAGCACTGTTCTCAGAAAGCAGCGGAGGGCTTCTGAGGAGCCCCGCCGCCTTCTGAGGACGCCTGCTTCTCCTTCTCGCTTCCCCTCCGCGCTCGCCGCCGAGTAATAGAGCTTCCGCAGATCGCGCTGCTTGCCTCTCGCGAGAGGCGCCTCGCAGCAGTGCCACCCGTCCCCCTCTAGATGAGCGCGTTCCACGACTCGCAAAATAATTGCTCGCTAATGCCCCCTGACTCCGCCGTAATTAGGGGATTCATGATACGTTGCGTGGAGGGAGGCGCTGCTTCCTCGGACGTCTGCGAGCAGGCACTCTTTGCGAGTAGTGGAACGCGCTCGGTGACTCTCGCTTGCCGCCGAGAGGACACGGGGCGAGGCACCACGAAGCCGGGGAGCTTCGCGCGCGGCCGGGGCTCCACGCGCCGCAGAGGGTTAGGTTGGACATGTCCCCCCCGCAGAAAGATGGGACATCGGCAAGACATGCCCCCCCAAAGAGTCCCAAAATGGTAGGAACATCGTCCCCAGACTAATTGTGTAACAGACATCTTGGAGTGTGACCCCTGTAGAGGGGCGTGCCCGGCTTACAGTGGAGGCCCGACCACAAGAAGCCTTCCACAGGAAACCCAACCCTGAGACCCCAGGACGTCCCCTGCTTGTTGGTGTGGGCACGTGGCGGCTTCCATCGCGAAGCCATCGAGACCCCAGAAACCCAGCACACCCTGGAGGCAAGCAAGGTGTTTCGGCGGCGCGCGCGGGGGGGAAGTGAGAAAGAGATGGCCTTCTCAGAAGGCTCGGAAATCCCCCGGCCTTCTGAGAAGTTTTCTAAGCCTTCCCCGAAGGCAAAAACTAAGATTTCTCAGAAGGCGCGAGGGCTTCTGAGAAGTCCCGCCGCCTTCTGAGAATCGACGAGCGCGCTCCACTACTCGCAAATAACTACTCGCAAGTGGCCTGGATCCGCCGCGGGGGATCTACGATCAATTACATCAAAGCCGACATGTGTTTATCGGACGTTTGCGAGTAGGCACTTTGAACGCGCTCGGTGAGAGAAGGCCTTCTCCTTCTCACTTCCCCCCCTCGCTCGCCGCCGAAGGCTTCTTGGCATGGGTCTCCACTGTAACCAGAGGGCCGCGGCGCCGCGGAGAGCCGAGGCGCCGCGACGGCCCCCGGCCAGGCAGAGGGGGCCAGGGAGAGCGCCGGGGGCGGGCAGGGAGCGCGCGAGGAGCCGCACGGGCTCCAGGCTTGTAGGTCGGCTACCTGAGGAGGAGGAGGAGGAGGAGGAGGAGGAGGAGGAGGAGGAGGAGGAGGAGCAATAAAGGCCCAAGCGGGAGGGAGCGCTGGAGAGAGAGGCAGCTGGCAGAGGGCGGGCAAGGAGCGCGCGAGGAGCCGCACGGGCTCCAGGCTCAGGTCGGGCATGTCCTCCTACAGTGGAGGCCTGTCCACAAGAAGCCTCTCTTCCTCCTCCTCCTCCTCCTGCTCCTCCTCCCTCCTTCTCGAGCTCTTCATTCCCTCCTCCTCCTCCGAGTGAGAGGGGGGCAGGGCCGTCTCGGACCCCCTCGGTGCCCATATCCCCAGCGCCAAACATGCAGGCCACCCGACCTCCGGCGATACAGTAGGAGCTCGACCACAAGAAGCCTTCCACAGCAAACCCAACCCTGATACCCCAGGACGTCCACTGATAATTTGGCGTGCGAACGTCGCGCTCTCCATCGCAGAACCATCGAAGCCCAAGAAACCCAGGGCACCCTGGAGGCAAGTAGGGTGTTTCTTTGCATGGGTCTCCACTGTACAAGCGGATTCACGAAGAAAAATGAAACATACGCAGAAAATGCCCACCAAATATTCAAAAACAAGTTTTAAAACATCGGCCCCAGACTATATGTTAACTGTTTTTGAAGATTCCTCCTGCAGAGGGACATGCCCGACTGAACTCCAGGCTCAAGCTCGGCCGACCACTTCTTGTTCGTCGGCGGCGAGGCAGCATGGCTGCACAAGCGATGGAGCTAAGCTAGAAAGGGGGGCACCGGGAAGCGCATGGGTCAGCGTGCAGGAGGAGGGGAGAGGACGGCCAGGGCGGCCGCGGAGGGGGCCCCGGAGGAGGGGCCACTCAGAGGTGGAAGACTCCCGACCCGAGCCCAGACATGCGACGTCCTGATGTTTTCAGGACAGCGTCCCCGAAGTCCAGACCCTTTCCCCAGGGCCGGTTGTTCATCCTGAGTCGTGTTTTGACGGTCCCGAGGCCCAGGAAGGGCCCCCAGGGGCCGAACATATAGAAAATCTGGCCGTCCTGTTTTTTTTTGCGACGCGATCATGTCTGGGAACGTGCTGGCGCGGCCGGCCCCATCAGCGGGAACCACGGCAGCAGCCGGGCCGCTGACATCCTGCTCGGCTGCACGCAAAGAGCTACCCAGGGCCATCGGCAACTTCGGGAACCCTCGACCACTCCGAGCCTCGATCGACTACACGCAAGAGTGACCCTGGGTAAAAGTGACCTTTGGTGCGCGGCTCTTTGGGGGTCGCGGGGGGACCACACAAAAAGCGCGCAAGGCGCTACCACCGCATCGCGTTCGGCGATCGGGGGACCCCAGAGGGCCCGCACCAAAGGTCACTCCGGCGAAGGGTCACTCTTACGTGGAGTCGACTCGAGAGCCTCTTTGGCCACCCCGGGCTAGCTTCGGCATCGGGGGCCCTCAGCGCCAGTGCTCGGTACGGCGAGGGCGAGCCGCCGAGGACCAGAGAAAACCGCCGAACGCCGCCGAGAACTTCGGACCTCGAGCCTCGCCGACCACGAGCAGCACAGCGGCTGGCCATCGCTCGGACGTCCATTCTCTATGCTTTTTTCGGTTTCGTGTGTGGCTTTTTCGAAGGATGATCCGGGATGCTCCTTAATAATCCCCGCTGAGAAAAAGTGCACACGTCCGAGTGATACCAAGTACAGGCAAGAGTGACCCTGGGTCAGAGTGACCTCTGGTGCGCGGTCGCTTGGGGGCTGCGCTGGGGGGCCAGACACCAACGCAAACGACAAATAACAAATAGTCAAACAATAATCCCAAATGATCAAACATGCTTTACAAAAATCGTCCCCAGACTATTTCTTTACTATTTTTGAATATTCCCCTTGTAGAGGAACACGCCCGACTTAACGCAAGACGCTACTTCTAGACTGCAGTGACGGCATTGGATGAGGAACCAGTGTGCAAGGAATTCAGGGTCTGCAGGCCCGTGGAACTCCAATCGTGGAGTGGCCATGGATACCACCGCCGCCCTCATCAGAGAAGAAGCCATGCAGGGTCTGAAGCCCCTGGGCACATTCCTTAACGAACGCCCCCACCGTATCGCATCGCGCTCGACGGTCGGTGGATCCCAGTGGGTCCGCACCGGAGGTCACTCCGCCGAAGGGTCGTTCTCACGTCTCGTCGGCCAGCGGCCGCGCGCACGCGGCCTCTCCCCGAAGCCTACAAAGGGGCCCGACGCAGCAGCCCTCGGCTCGGGGCCCGAAAGCCCCGGGGCGCGGGCCAGAACCCAGGGATGAGCGGGGAGAAGGGGGGAGGGTAAGCGAGGTGCGCTCGCGCCAGGTCTGGCATGCTATCCCTCCCCCCCCAGCCCTTTCCCGTTGCGCTGATGTGTTCTTTCTCCGTGGACGCGCGCCGTGCCGTAGCCGACCAGGAGCTCAATCAGAAGCATCGTGTTGTGCGAAATCGGAGAAGGGAAGCTGCGCCCACAGCATGAGGAGGTGGCGGGTGAGCAGGGCGAAGAAGAGGATGAGGAAGGAGGAGGGCAGTGACAGACAGCAGCAGCAGGAGCTGGAGTGCAAGGAGCGGGAGGGGCAGGAGGACCAAGGAAGGCGGAGGGGGGGAATGCGGGTCTGGAAGAGTGGCCCGCACGTGCGCGGGAACGCCATGCTGAACGGCAGGAGCGAAGCCGCGACGCGAATATGCGGCCCACGCCGCAATGGGAGCACCATTATAAAACGCCGCGAACAATCGGATTGTAGAAACCGTAAGAATCATAACTACCTATACGACCACCCTTCGGGTGATGAGGTCAGGGGTTGGTGGGGAAAGAACCGACTGCTGGCAAGTGCCCTGGGTGTGATGATGACGATGCTGCTGGCGCGCCCTCGAGTTAGCGACGACGCGTGATAACGATGTTGCGCTGCGACGTGCTGACACTATCGTTCTCACTGTCGATCTCGCTTTCGATCTCACTGTTGATTTCGCTGTCGATTCCACTATCGATCTCGCTATATATTTCACTATCGATGTGACAACCACTTTCACAATCATCCTCACTGTCGATGCCTCGTTTGATCTATCTATCCCATTCCAGCGATCCAACAAACGATCTCAACATCGACTTCACTATCGATACTAAGGCGGGACACCCTGGCCACCGCCCGCCCACCGCCGACAGAACACCGACGGGACACCAATGGGACGCCACAAGACACCACGGCGGGACAACCCGGGCCACCGCACGCCCACGGAGGGCGGAGGGGCGCTCCACTGTGACCGAATCGGCCTAGTAACGGCGTGGGGACATTCCTCTCGCGCGCCCACGCAGCTTTGCCTGAGTCTGGGGAGACAGGAGAGTAGTATACATATTGTGTCCTTGTGACGGACAGGACCGGACAGCGGCCCATAGGGAGGCGGTGTGGGTCCTCCTCCCAAGCAGTGCGCTGGGCAAGAAAATTGAGAATTGTAGCGTGAACCATGTTCTGGGTGATTCTTGGCGAAGGAGCCCTGCAAGAAAGAATAACAAGACAAGTCGGCAGGCGAGAAGGGAGGGACGGACGGCGACAAAACGACGAGCGACATGAAGGGGAGGGACGAGGGCGATAACGACGACGAAACGAGCGACAGGGGGTGGGAGGAGAGGTACAAGAAGACGCAACTGCATAAACATCCTGTGGGCCCGTATGGGCCCGCACCATAAGATCATCACTCTGGCGAAGGGTCACTCTTACGTACAACTTGTGTGAGGCTCCCCTGTTTTGCTACCGAACTCGTCGGTGTGCGGGGCGGGACCCCCAGCACCTTCGAGCGCGACCGCATTGTCCAACTTCATGTCGTGGTGGATCAGAGGCGGGTTGAGCCTGCTCAAGAAGGCGAGTGCCTCCAGCACCTGCCGCCGGGTGGGCAGAGGGAGAGCGAGGAAGATGGAGAAAGAGGATGAGTAAAGGGGCACAGGGAGAATTACATGTGTACACACAGCATCCAGGATTCCCGAGATGTTTTGGATATGTTGTGGATGGTCCTATTCCCTTATATGTCCCAGATTCTCACATACAACAATGTAGAATCACATATAGAACTATATCTCTCTCCATAATAATATATATATATGCATACATGCATACATACACGCACACATACATACATACATACATACATACATACACACCTACACACCTACACACCTACATACATACATATACATATACATACAATCATACATACATACATACATACATACATACATACATACATACATACATACATACATACATACACACACATACATACATACATACATACATACATACATACATACATACATACATACATACATACATACACACATACATATATACATACATTCATCTATTCATTCGTACATGTATACATCCATACATATATACATACATACATACATGCATGCATACATATGTATGTGTATGCCCGGTACCTCTGGGCACGGAGAGGGTGCGTCCTCAGGTCCGTTGCCAAGTCCCCTGAGCCTCAGTCCTCACTCCTGAAGAGTCTCACGGGGGCCGGGACCCCGAAGTCTCAAGTCTTCTGGGACTTCCCGCGGTTCCCCGAAGGCTTGCCGCGTCTTGTCGCGTGACTTTTTCGGGCACAGCAGGGCCCCAAGACGGGCCAGGAGAGGGTTTCCAAAGGCCGCCAAGACTGTCCAAGAGGGTCCCGAATGGCCGTACGATCGCCGCAGGACGCCCCCAGGTGGCCCCCAGACGGCCCAAGAGGCCGCCTAGACGCCCAAAGAGTTGGAGGCCTCCCAAAAGGGCCCCAAGAGGCCAACGTCATTGATTTCCCGTCGGGTTTTGAAGAATTGTGGCGTTGTCGCCATTTCGACTTCCCGATGCTCGCAGACGGCCCTACCCAAGACCGTCCCAAGGCGGCCCAAGAGGCCTCCAAGAGGGCCCCCCAACTGCCCAAGAGGGCTCCAAGACAAAGAAAACGGCCCTTCAAAACGGCCCAAGATGGCCCCAATACGGCCCCAACAGAGGCCCACAAGAGGGACCACAAACTGAAAATCCGAGCTTTCCGTCACAAGAACCCCCCGGGAGACCCCAAGAGGCGCCCAGGAGGCCCCAAGAGGCCACAAGAGGCCCCCAGAGGCCCAAAAGAGGCCCCCAAACACGCCCCAAGAGGCGTCCAAACTGCCTCCAAGAGGCCCCCGAGAAGCCTCCCACAAGATCCCAACGAACGTCCAAGGAGCTTCATGCACACACCCAGGCACGGTCGCGTGATGGGCCGAAGGCCATTAGACATATGTTCGATCTTCCCTCCCGAATGAATGGGACCGCCTCCGCCTCCGCCTGCGTCTCCCGGTGCCTCCCCTTTCCCTCGCTGGTAAGGCCTCGGGTTGCGAACAGACAGGCCCCCCCGGTAGACCCGGCTGTCCTCAGCAGGCCCCCCGAATACTTCTGGGCGGTCTCAACACGGGCGCCGCCTCCAGGGGGGCTCCGCGCCCCAAGATTGGTGAGACCGCCCCAAGCTACTCAAGGGGCCTCTTGAGGCCAGCTGGGATTACCCGGAGAGCTGTCTGTGCGCAACCCGAAGCCTTCCCGTCGCCCCTCTCCCCACCCTGCTCTTTCTGGACCCCCAAATCTGCTCAGGATCTGCTCCCAGACCCCTCCCACAGTCCGTCCTGGTCAGGGTTTTCAGCGGCGGCGACGAGACCGGGCTCAGGCGGAAAGCATCGACCTGGAATCGGGGACGCATCGCCGATAGATCGGCGACAGGCCTCCGATGTAGGACCCGCGCGTTCCTGAGCGGGGTGGGCTATCGAGCCCCTGTCGGAGCGATTGGGGGTCGATGCGTTCCCCCACTGAGCCCATCCCCCCCCTCTGGCTTTCGAGCCACCACTCGGGCATCTGGCTGCCTTTTGGGACGACCTGGGCACTCCCAGAACGCTCTCGGCAAGGCGCAGCCGCTGGACGGCACCCCGAGACTGGAACGCCGCCGAGAACCGACGCAAACGCCCGAACACTTCGAACCACGATCCCATCCCCCCTTGCTGGTGCCCCTCGGAGGCGCGAGCACCTGCTGTGTGATCTGGCGGGCCGCGAGAATCGCGGAGCTGCCGGTGCCCAGGCTGCTGCGGATCTTCTCCAGGCTCTTGCCGCAGGGCTCCAGGACCAAGTACACCACGCTGTCAGTGCCCACGTACTTGGACACGTGCTCCTCCAGAGGAAGGAAAAAAAACTGCAGGAGCACAAACTTGCGGAGGTCCGCGCGGATGTATTGGATCTGCGCTGAACCCCGTCTCTCTGGCGCGCAGAGCGCGCCAGGGGCGGCGCCAGAGGCGCCGCCAAGGGGGCCCCGACGCCGATCCACATTTTCCGTGCAGAGCTCCAGCATTTCTGCTTATACGAATTGCTGCTCGATCCTCGTAGCACGTGCAGATGTGGCTCGCGCCCCAGGGATACACATCTTTGTGGTGCAGGATCCCCTGGACTAGCATGCACTCGTCCGCGTTCTCCTTCAGCTCCTGCTGCTCCTTCGGTGTCGCCGTGTTCCAAGTGAGGTACCGCTTTCGCCCGCTGGACCGCGAGTAGAAGATCTTCACAGCCACGCGCCTCTGAAGCCTTTGGTCGTATGCGTCCCAAACGTCGCCAAAATTTCCTTGACCGAGGTGCGAAGTGTCGGTGAAGTCTGTCGCTGAACTGGGAAAACTTTCGCCGGGCGACACTGAATCTTGAGTGCCGTTGAGCCGGTCAAGCAAGTTCATCTCTTCGTGTCTGTCAAGCCTGCTCATCACCTCGCGGCTCTCGACGAAACGCTCCAACACAAAGCGACCTCCAAGCAGGTGGCCAGCCTGCGCCAGCTCACCCTCAACGACAGCGGCAACTGTCTGGCCACTTGCCTCCACAAGCGATGACTCGTTAGCCGGAACTGCCTCGGGCTGTGCGTCGTCCGCTAAAGCGTCTGTCACGCGCGTGGTCTCGGCAACACTGATCACCAACAACAATGCCAATGCTGAACGTGCCGATGCCAATCTGTTAGCAATGCGTACCGCCAT